TATAGTGACAAATTGGAGTTGATCCCACCACCAAGCTCAACTTCAGCCTTTAATCATCCTCTCGTTCACCAACTTGGTCAACTAGCTCAATTTCCCCTTAGAACACATCAACATCAAAGTATTAATTAAATTCCTAGCTTTTGAAAATACCCAGCTTTTTTAAAAATGACTACATTCTTAACAATCCAACATTCAAGGTCAAATCCTTTAATAATGAGATAAACCCATACCTTAGAAGCTAAATTGCATGAATCTCAACTCTAAATTCCAACAACATCGAAGGGGATTCACCAAAGTTGGAAAAATTAGATTCATTGGCTATTAACCAATTAAATTTAAAATCAATCGATAAATATTTAATCTTACCTCTAGAGGTGTTTTCCAAGCTCCAATCTACTCCAAATGGTTTTAAAAATTAATTTGGGGTTAAGGTCTTTAGAGTCATAGAAAGAGAAGGGATTTAGGTTTTGTTTAAATGAGGCAAACAACCCAAAACCCTTTTTATTTCTGCTTCTCCCTAGTGATGTATCGATACATTTGGGAATGTATGAATACATTCACACAATTTTTTTTTAAATCTATTGATACATTGAGCAATGTATCGATAGAAATGAGGCAAAATGCTCATTGCCCAAAAATGTATCAATACATGGGAAAATGTAACGATACTTTTTCCCATGGGTGCTCCTACTTCAAATCTATCAATACATTTGAATTGTGTATCAATAGATGTTCATCCTTACTCAAATCTATCGATACATCCTTGTATGTAGTAAAAGAAAATCCCGTGTATGCCTTATGTTGTTCATCCTGCCAAAAAGGTATCAATACATGGGGGAATATATTGATACATTTTCCTTTGTAGGCAAATTTTCAACTTCTAGACTTTCAAAAAGTCAAACTTAACACCCCGTAATCATCCCCTGTAAATATGACTCTTCAAATGAATCATACACTCAAATCCATAGACATATATCCCCAAATATCACATCAAATGCAAATCAAAGCCTCAAGAATTAAGCTTATCACGTATTTCTACAAAAATTGACCTAAGTGTCAACATGTATACTTCCATACACTTATCGCATCCATCATATCATAAATTCTAAAATAGTTCTTTGTACACATAGGCATACTCTCAAATAACTTAATTTACATAAAACATCTAGGATGTTACACCAAATGTCAAGAGAGTCAATATGGTTTGACTAACCTTTCAATATATAGTATCTTAGTATAATTCGATCCTTTCATTATATATCCCGGATAGATAGAAAATTTGACTCCATGTCTTCTTTCTAACTTATCCATATTAGTCCTGCAGCTTCCACATTGACTTATCAAGATTGCTTCAGCCAAGGACTTTCAGTAATATAAGCTAAGAGTAAATGAGATATGTCCCCTTCTAATCACTTAAGGTGATGAATCTTCTCTAAACTACTCATTTATCTTCACATACTTTCTGTCATACCCAAAAGCATCTTGTTTAGGCATCTGGTCACCTCCAGACTTGTAAAAGTGAAATCAAATCATGACAATTTCATATAAGATGAGCTGGTATCACAAGTGTAAGGATTACTTACACTACTAACACATGAGAGAATTTCTAGACACTTGAATGAAATACCAAAGGAAACTCTCATAATGGGTCATGTTCAGTGAACTTATTCCTTAACAAACACTTACATACTATACCCACGTATCTCACATACTTCAACCTATAAGATCGATTGCTTACTTTCAAAGTAAGGCTTAGCATATACTAGTCTTTAAGTATTGTCAATGTCCTTATTCTTGACAATACAATGACCAAGAACATATTTAGGAATGAAGTTTTGATACATAAGAATCTCATAATTATAACTTTTATAATTTCTTTGCAAGGCTATTATGTTCTAAGGACTTTATTTACATAAGTCTCTCATGACTCTTTATAAATAAACTTATGGATAAAGAAATACCTCACACATTATATAAAATA